AAGGTATAAGCCAGGGGTCACCAACCTTTTCAAACTTGGAGCTACTTCATGGGTACCTATGAACTGGTGGGGTCAGAGGTCACCTACACTTCATACATCATAAGCATATTTTTATATTAACATTTTCTTTTAGATATTGTAATTTTGAAATCTTTATAAATGCTGAAATGCCCTTTATGGTTCATATAAAATGTTCTATGAATGATTAACAGAGAAGAGAAACAGAAAAAGAAACTTTTTCAAACTTGGTGATTGTTTGGTTTTTAGAAAACATTTTTTATTAAACTAAAATCTGTAGTCCAGCAAACATTCATTCTGTATTTTTAAACAAGTTTTGAAGAGTTATAGCTGTTTTTTATTTCTTTTTATATTTCTATTTTTCATTGTAAAATTCTTGCTGTTGTGTTTTTAGGTTTAAAGACATTTTTTAGCTCTGTCCAGGAAAAACAGATGAAAAATAGCCTTTTGGCTAACTGTGGTGCGTTTGCTGGAAGGCTTATTAATGAACAATGTCTCTGTCAAATAAACAAATAAAAAAGACAGAACACCCCATGTGGCCCTTGAGGGCCCCTTGGTGCCTGCGTGCATGGCATTGGTGACCCCTGGTATAAACAATCTGCTCATATAGGAAAGATTGCATTTAGTCAGAAAAAGAAGGAAACGTGAGCGGAAATACCCACAGCGTACCCAGAGTACAGCGCCCGGATCCCCTCCTCCTGGCCGATCCTGAAGAGCGCGTGGAACATGCCCCTGTAGCGCACCTCGGTGTACTGGGACTGACCCTGCACCTGTAGGCGGGTCTTAGTCAGGTCGATGGGAAATGTCCCTGAAGATGGAAAATAGAAGCAATGATTAAAAATTAAACGTGTTAACTCCTAAAAACACCCGATTATGACTTAGTTATCTAAACTGACTTACAAAGTCCCACCGTTTGGCATTTTACTAACAATAAACCTTATTTTGCCATTAGGGGGAAAAAATAACATCCATCAAATCAAATACAAGCCCTCTGAATATTTTTACACATTTTAAATTTACAAACTTAAAACTTTTAATAGATTTTATTCTGACTTTATCCACTAGACTAAGAAAGTGCTAAATATTAAGTGGAATCTTGCTCTGTTTTTACCATTTTTAAAGTGAAAATCAGAAATTTGCAGCATCTTTCTTTGTGGATGAAAAAACCAAATATTTAGTGAAATGACTTTAGCTGCAGTAACAGCTGTGAATCTTTGGAGCCACGTCTCTGTCACATCTACAGAATGGGATTTTGTTCCATCGTCTTTCCAAAACAGCTCAAACTCAGTCAAGAAAGATGGAGATTTTCTGTGAAATCCATTTTCTAACTCCTGTCACATATTTTTATTTAGATTTAAGTAAAGCTTTGACTGGGACATTTTAGGGATACACTGATAGATCAGCCAACCGATATTTTAATTATGTCTTGCTTTCATCCATTCATTTCTTTCTGCCAATATTTTCATGTTTGTAATATGAGTGACGTCCAAAACATGGTATTGTTTTGTAAACTAACTCTGCTTTAAACTTTTCCATAATTGTTCCTCTTTGTTCCCATGCCTTTATAACACTTTTTGTTCTCTACCTCTGATCTTCAAAGAGCAGTTGCATTTACACCGAGATCAATCTAAACACAGTTGGATTCGATTCATTGGTGATTAAATAGGCAACTTCCGAATGTGATTCATGCAATGAATTTTATCTAAACATAAAGCAATGGGAGCTGAATACAACAGAGCGCCATCTTTTTTTTATTTTTACCTGTAAAACTATAAAATCAATGAATCGCTTACTTTCACTACACAATCAAAACTGCTTGGTGTTGCTCTACGCCTGCTGAAGACACAGACGTCCATCCCCGTGAACACTGGGACGCAACTCAATGGGAAAGGAAAGGATTCTGGTTTCAACCGTTGCGTATATTAGCTGCGACACATGAATCAAGATGCTATGATCGAAAACATTTGATTGACAGATGAACGTTGATATATGATTGGCTGAATTTAGGTGTTCAGGCTGACGTAGAACTAACTGGCCTGCAGAAGATAATGAAGAAAAGACAGATTTTACAACAGGATTTTTTAAAAATAGAAATGTTTTAACTTTTGGGACAATATGGTCTGATAAAGAGGACATTTATATACATGTTTAAGCCAGAATGATTTGACATTTTAATATGATTTCCCTGCCACTTTAAAGTTTGTCCTGAATGATTCCCTTTCAGGAAAAGAACAGGAGAGAGAAAGCTTGAAGGTGCAGACACAGAGCTTTCCTTTAACAACTCTAACCTACTGATATGGAGTGAGAGATGCAAATTAGACCAACCGCCTTTCTGCTGGATCCTTCACTTTGTTAACTGTGGACATCTAATCCAAACTTATTCAAGAGCTTCATTTAATTTTGTCTTTAAATTTATCCGGCAGCATCAGTTACCCTGTGAAACCAGAGTCATCATCCCTCTGCTGCAGCTGCTGCTGAAGGCTCTAATGTTCAGAAGCTAGTTACCATGGATGCATTAGTGGGGCAGATAAATAGAAACAGTGTTTGCACAATATTCCAGTTAAAAGATGAAAAAGATGGAAGCGATGATCTCTGCGCTTTGCTGCATCACGTACCGAATTCTGCGACAATCGAGGCCATTCCTCCGTAGATGAAGGGCTTCCAGTTTAAGTTGACCATCTCTGTGTCGGCGGCCGCTTCCACCTGCTGCAGTCCGGCTATGAAGAGGAGAAAGCCCAGGCAGAGGTCAACATAATGCTGCTGACAGCACAGCATGTCGACCGACATCATGATGCTACTGATCAACAAGCCTCCACAGCATCAGCATCCAGCATACTGCGCCGGAAACACAGCAAACGCGCTAAGGGGAGGTCCTTAGACCGCGCCTCATTCCTATTGGCTGAGAGTCCAATCAGTCAATAAGCTCTGCGATATGACTGGCTGTTGGAGCGCGTCATGTAGGGGGAGGTTGACACACAGCAACAGTGTCACGAGTGAAATAATTGAATAATAACGCCGAAACATCACTAAAGTTTTACTTAACTTACAGTTTCACGTTTAAGGTACAATTTGAGTGAAATAAAAAGTGTTTCTTTTAGATTGTTTTTAATATTGAAGGTTGTCTGACTGCTCGGCTCCAGCAGAAGGCTGCTGTGTTAATATGCTAACGAGCCGTTAGCTAACACTTGGAGGTTAGCGGCGGCAGTTGGGTAGATATCTGAACAAAGTCTCCTACCTTCTGCGAGGTCAAACAATCCCAAACGTTTGGTGCTATTTGGTTTTCTTTTCCATGACTTAATCCGGTCGCTTTCAGAGACTTTTTAAAATGAAAGAAGGAAACTTCTCGTCTTCCGTTAGCTTCCCATTTCAGCTTGTGTCAAAGGATGGCAAAATGACGAGGTTCGACTTCCGCTGAAACTTTCAGAATAAAATGGGTTTAAAAAAAAAAATAACAGACCGGAAGTGATCCGGAACAAAGCTGTGTGGAAACTACTGATCCACATCCAAGCACTTCTGTGACACTTGCCCAGAGTCAGTCACTCATCAGTTCTGGTTTTGTCATCATTCCAAAGTATTTTGGCAACATTTTTGTACTTTTATTGTGTTAAAAATATCAATAGGATTTCAGTTATATTGGGTAAATGTCCTCTTTGGTTGTCAACAAAATGAAAGAATGAATGCGAAGAGTTTTCTTATCAATTTATGAATTATTAAGGCTAAATTTCATCTTCATAAATGCAAATTTTTGAGAGAAAAAAATGACTTTTCAGATTTTTTGATTGAATTTAAACATTATATATTTACAATTCGATCTTCAACAAATAAAAAACCAAAAACAACTTAATTGGCTTGCAATCAAATTGGAATTTTAGATAATTTATTGTGTTGATTCACTGTGGCATCTGGTATTTTTGTCACCTTTGGTACTGTTTTTCTTTAAACAAGATTATTTTGTCATTTCTTATTATACTTTTATTGTTTTTTGTTAATGCTCCCCCGGGCAAATGTTTTGGTTGTTTTGTGATATGTACACGATGCAGTTTTGTATTCTTGTGTATTGTAAATAATAAAGTTTATTTTAAAAAAAAGAAGAAAAAAGATCCACATCCAAGTTCTATTTCCGCCAAAATATTCGGTTCCAACTTTGATCTCTCCTTCAATCAATTATGGAAGACCGGGAGAGTCACTGAAAAACAAATTTTATTTTTAAATAACACAATTAGAAATCTAATTTGTAAAGTGTGGTCTAAGAACACATTTTGAATTGAAGAGGAATTGTAAATTGTGTTTATTTATCCATTATTATTATTATTTATCCAATGAATGAATGAATGAATATTTATTTATTTCAGACAATAATAGTAACAAAAAAATAAAATAAATAAATCAAATTAACAAATAATATAAATGAATCAAAAGAACAAAAAATAATAAATAAAACAATTCCAATTTTAGAAATGATCAAATAATAACAATAATTAAATCAGTTTCAGAAATACTAACAAATGTGTATCACATAAAAAGTGAATGGTAAACATTAAATTAAATTTCTTGTTCCGATTGGATTTAAATAATTTGAACATAAATAGAAATGCACTAAACAATGTTTACCATTAACAAGCATTATATTTACCCTAATGTCTGCCATTGATTATTTCTTACTGTAAATTGTCTGAAAAGCAATTTGAACATATATTTTCGAACATATTTCTAAACGGCATTTAGAAATAACACAATTCATAAATCTGTATACACAGTATATAAGAAAAAAATTAGGTTTTGTTTAGTAAAGCTTTTGTAACATTCCCATTTCTTAAAGTGAAGCAGTGATCAAATGTAAACAGTGTTGTAGAAAAAAAAAACCTGGAGCAGAAAAACGCGTCGATAAGGTCGGCGTCCCCCCGGCTGGGAAACACTGTTTTATGGGAACGCTGATGAAGTGAATGCAGTTTATTTAATCGTGGCTGAATTCCTCATGTTTTCCCAGAATGCACTATTTAGAAATGCAATGCCCTGCATAGCAGAAGAGGAAACATCTCCACCATAGAGCGTGTGTGGAGCTGCATTTCCTCAGTTATAAGAGGCTCATGGTATTAAACCCTTAAATGAGACAAATTCAAAACAAAAGTGATACATATTTTATTTGCACCAATAACATGAAACCAGGGGCGCTCACAGCTCTGTACAACATCCATTTATTTCATGTTTGTGGAAAACTTCAGCAATCAACCCACTTTTTAAATAGATTTCTTTTTACTTTGCATTTGATATTCTTTCAGAGGCATTTATTCGTTTTACACACATTTTTTAAAAATGTCCATTACTTCAACAGCAACAGATGTTATTTTCCAAAATGACATCCAGATGAGCAGTTTGAAACTGTCTTCCTATAATTGAATTTACAACATTGGAAATGTAAGTAATTCGTTTATTAGGAATGAAAACGTCTATCAAATTACCTAGATATATATATATTTTTCTTTAGGGACATGGCGCATCCTCTGTGTCGGGGAGTTATGGAGGTCATGTGTCTTTTTTACCATTAAGCCTTTTCCTAATCAACTGCTTTGTATTTTTTTTCTTCTCTCTTCTCTCTTTATCCTTTCCTTCAGACATACAGATCATCCGTCTAGCCATCCTAAAATATATCTTCCTCACCATCCTAACATCTCATATTTCCAACCATTCTAATCAGTTTCGTATCATTAAATTAGGTCTGTTGCCACAGACCTACAGACACGTCGGTTTAATGATGAATAAAAATATTAAGAATAGATTCATGTGGAAAAAAAGACCTAAACTGGGATTATAGGAGAAGTTTGATTTTGATCCAAAACTCTTGCTTTAAAAGCTAGTTTACTTTTCACCACAGATCTTTTTAAATGTTCCCTTCTGAACTGTTTGACTTACAACTAAATTATCAAAAAACAAACTGCTAAATATGGAGAAGTACACTGCAAAAAAATGAAATCTAGATAAGTTATTTTTTCTTAAAATAAGTGCATTTGTTCTTGGATTAAGGAGGTAAAAGAGTCATTTTGCCAATGGAACGAGACAATTCACACTTAAAATAAGAAAACACAATTGCATTGTCTTATTTCAAGTGCATTTTATCTAATTAGCTTATTTTGAGAATAAAAATACTCATTCCATTGGCAAACTATCGAATTTACCTACTCAAATTAAGGGTATATACTCTTAATTTAGGAAATTTTTACTTATTTCTAGATTGTTTTTCCAGTGTAAAAATGTCGTAATTAATGTCACAAGTATGAAAAACACATAACCTTAAACTAGATGAAATAATTCTGTAACTAAATGTGACTTCACTGGATTACTGACTGCAAATCTGCAACCTCTTCTCAAAGCCAAAACAAAAATGTCCCCCGCTGAGAAGAATAGAAGGGAAATACGAGTCATTCTTTTGGTAGAGAATATAGATATAGAAGCACACAGAACTATGGATCTATGAAAAAAGGACAGAAATCTAAATAATAGACTGTTGAGCTAAAAGAAAGAAGAAGAAGCATGAAAATAGATTTCTGTGGCTAAATTCCAACTTTGGTTGAGTTTTTGAGGTGCTTTGCAAAAGTGACCAGACTAAAACTATCTTTTACATTTTCTCAAGTTTAACCTGCAATAATATAATTTGTTTAGAAGATGTCAGAAACACCAACACATGCAGCGACATGCGGCATACATGTACACTGCTGATTCATCTCCAGCGTTACTAAAACCATCTATGGGCTTAATTTGAAACAGCTTCTAGCTTCATATGATTTAAACAGAAATCAGCATCGAGCAGAGAAAAGAAAAACTGTCCCAACAGATGTGCCCTGTTAGTTGGAAACATATAGCAGGTTTGCCTCTGATGCTGCAGTCTTTATCGCCTTACATTTCACCATCAGGCTTTGTTAGCTTCACTGTCTGCTAAAAACAAATCATTATAATGCTGTTATGTTGCAGATTCAGGTTTCTGTCATTTAAAAAAACATTTTTTTGTGCTCAGACCAGACTTTTTCCTCACATGTTCCCTGTGATCTCTTACAACCTTTTATCAGCAGGGACTTTCTTCTTGCCATTTTTTGATTAGACCAGATTTATTGTTTCTGCAATTTATAGTTATTCAATCAGAAAAGTTGTTCCTTTGTTTTTTTTGGCTCCTTTAGTGTTCAGAAAAGTTTTCTGGCTGCTTCTTCAATACATGCTGTTTTTGGTTGGCCTGTCAGTTTATATGAATAGTTGTTTTGTTGTAAGTGTTGCAGCTTTTCCATTTCAGATGAAGGACTGAACAGAACTTTAAGATGTTAATAATCGGGGTGTTTAGTTATAACCTTGCTGGAAGCTTCTGCTGGGAGAGCAGCCGGATGGTTACATCCACCCTCAGCCACGCTTCTCTAAGTCAGAGTTAAAACTCTGGTTGGTTTTTGTAAAAAGAAAAAGTTGGAGAGGCATGAATACCTTTGCAGGACAGTGTTGCATGTTTTTTTACAATGATAATGTTTCACATTCTTTTCAACCATTAGATCCAAACTGAGTTTTTATTTTTTTATTTTTTAATTATCTACCAAAAATGTCTGCTCATGATCAAATCTACTAAACCAGGGAGGCATCCAACTAATATACAGCAAATATCAACAATGTTAGTCTTCTTATGTAGAAAAATATGTTTGTTTTCATCTTCTTTTCTTAGCAACGTTTTTCAGATGATTCTAAGTTGATGCAAACCCTGCAGCCCCAAACGTATTAGTCTTTGTGTTTTTCCTCTTTTTTATTCCGTTGGTCCTGCTGTGTTGGGAAGCGTGCTCGGTCATGGTCGCAGTGACAGAAGATCCAGGGTTGCTCAAAGGAACGCAGGAAGTTTTGTGAAGTCACAGTGTGGTTCTCAGCATCCGAATGACACGCTGGTACAGCTGTTGGACAACAGATGCTAGACTCCTAAAACAAAAGGGGAAAAATTCATTAAACAAGTGTTTTATTTTTTAAAATAAGTAAAATAAAGGATTTTGAACGCCTAAACTTCCATTACCAGTGTAATATGTGACTCATGGAAACTCAAAGTTTATGTCCGCATTAGTGAGAGAATATATTCAATATTGTTCAATAAATCACAGATATTTACACTTTGCTTTATATTTGTTTAGCATTTGATATAATGCAGCTTTTTGTTTCCCCTGATAAAATATATCTATATTTAACTGCCTTACAAACCTGTGCTGCAGGTTATTAAGCTGCTGTTGAAGATTCTCAGTCCTCCAGGTCATAGTCATTCCAAAATGGTTAAATGGTCCGTTTCTATCTGCATGTTTTCTAAACTAAAACCAGGCTTTGTTGGGCTGCTGGATAAAACCTGGAACTAAACGCTATTTCTGACATTTTAAACTGAAAAATCTTCCTGGATGGAAGAGAAACGTCTTCAAATATAGAAACAAAGTCTAGGGGATTTAATTTTTTTTTTTGCAGTAAGCTGGAGCATCAATGTGTAAATAGGGAGCCTCGCCTCAAACATATAAAACTATTTCCTGTTTTATCTTCAGAACAATTAAACATGTTGATTGTATTATAAGAGGACCAAACCTACTCCATAAAGAGCACAGGATGTCAAGGTTTCCATCCATCCATGAGTCATGGCGCTGCATCTTTCTATCCAAAACATCTTCAGTGTAACGGAAATGTTTAGGAAGGAACCTCTAGAGGAGTTCCTCCATCTAGGAGCGCCCAGGGAACTAATCAGGAACTAATGGGTAGTTAACCAGTAACACCCAACCCAGCCTTATTTTAGGATTACTGCTTAGTTACCCGGGAAACTAAGAGTAACTAAGCAGGAACTAATGGGTTGTTTCACTTTACTTAATGGTACATATAACCGTTAGTTAATGATAAGGCAGTGATTAAGTGATGAATAGTTCCCCAGTAAGTACTTTAGGGAAAACACAATTACACTAGATAATGGTCAGGTACTAATTATGTAATAGTTCCTTACAGGGGTGGATTTACCATTAGGCAATACTAGGCAGTTGCCTAGAGCCCCAAGTTCCTGGGGGCCCATAAAACTCTGTTTACATGTATGGTTAATACAACTATTATTTGGGGAGTGATGTCCTAGTGGTTAGAGTGGGGCGCTGTGCTCTGAGTACCTGGTTCAATCCCCACAGGCTCTGGGTCCCTGAGCCAGACCCTTAACCCCACACTGCTCCCTGGGTACCGCACAATGGCAGCCCACTGCTCCCCAAGGGGAGGGGTTAAATGCAGAGAAGGAATTTCCCCAATCCGAGATGCATAAAGTTCAATTTCTATTTTCTTGTCTTTCTATTCCTTATTTCTGCACATTAATTATGTTTTTGATTAAAATCCTTTGGCTAAAATGCCATCAGAACGCTGATAATATTAAGTGTGTCTCAGCCCCCCCCCTTCAGTGTCCACCATATTGGATCAGTCCATTTGCTGCACATGTTCAGAAAGGTCCAAACAGACAGCAGCAAACCATTTGAAAACAA